TAACTACTGCTCGATGCGAAAAATACAATACCTACACACACACACACACCCATACACACATCCACACACACACACACACACACACACATACATACATACAAACACAGACGCATGCACACACACACATACATACTGCAATAAAGTTTTTTAATGAAGTTATTGTAGAGAAGTACTAAAAAAATTTCCTCTCTCCACCAGATAGATGGTGCATAAAATGAACATCACGACAATTACTTACTTTATATGGCTGTATAAAAAATGAAGAGAAAACTAAGTGGAAGAAAGAGAGAGAAGGTGAAAGAGAAGGAAAGAGAGAGAGAGAGAGAGAAGGTGAAAGAGAAGGAGAGAAAAAAAGAGAGAGAGAAAGAGAGAGAGGGAGAGAGAATTTGTATAGGCAGTTGGAAGGAGAACGTGTGTTAAGTCCCAAAGAACTATTTTTCGTTTCCAACAGGAGTAGCTTGCATTTTTTAAAAATTAGAGAACAGATTATGATAAGTGGAATGATTACAATTAACAGAGTAATAGTAATCATAGCTACACCAACAACAATAATCATAATAACAATAATAATAATAACAATAGAAAACAACAATAATAATAATATAAAGGGGAAGATCGTGAATCGTCCCAAGAACAATACTAAGCCGGTAATAAAATCAGCGATGATGTGAAAATAAACAACAACCACAACAACAATAATAATAATAATATCAACAACAACAATATTAACAACAACAACAAAACAACAATTTTTGTACAGCTTTCAAACGGTTTCTCATCCAGAATGAACAACAACAACAACCACCACAACAAAAACTATAACAACAACAACAACAACAACAACTATAACAACAACTACCACAACACCAACTATAACAACAGCAACAACAATGATAATAATATCAACAACAACAACCAAACAACAACAATTTTTGTACAGCTTTCAAACGGTTTTTCAGACTACTCATCCAGAAGGAACCTAATTACGAAAGCATCATGATGAAGCAAATAGACACGCGCTGAGGTACTAATCACAAGTTGGTTCTGTATTAAATACAGTTGAAAGACGCATTAAAAGTCACGAATCGATACCAAAACAGCATAAAATACACATTGGCATTACCGAAATCAGTACCGAAACCGATATCGAGACCAATACCGAGATACCGATATACCATGAGATACACATTATTATTGATACGAAATCAATACCGAAATAAAATCCAAAATATGTATACCATTAAAAATTTCAACGTTAATAATAATGAAGTACTGCAAACACACATACGTATACACATAATCCCATACACACATACGCACACATACACACACACTTACAGACAGAATCATGCAAACATGCCAATCATTTGCTGTGAAAGAGTTACATACAATTTCAAGCGATAATTCTTCAGTCCCCAGATCGAACATATATATTAATACAAACAAACATGCAAACATACATATATACAAACAAACAAACATGCATACATGCATACATACATACATACAAAATTCTCAAAGGAGATGCTTCAACTCCCAGCGGGTGTATCAAACGAAAATCTCTTTCGTTACATGTATATTTATCTGTTTAAATGTTTTTTTTATCTTTGTCTATTTGATAAACGATTTAGACATCTGAACATACAGACAGGCAGACAAACAGACAGACAGATAGACAAACAAACACACAACTATACACACATGCACGCGCACACACACACACGCACGGTTGCATACATACGTACGTATACATTCTTGTGACATGTTCAATTTATCGGTGGAATTTGTTAACTTTTTCCCAGTTTAATATTAATTAACTTTTAGGAAGAATAACAAAAAATTTTTTGAATTAATTGAATGTATGAATGAATGAATGAACGAACGAATGAATGAATGAATGAATGAATGAAAGAATAACGAATGAATGAATGAACGAACGAACGTACGTACAAAGACAAACAAAAATTGAATGAACGAATGAATGAAGGACGAACTGATGAATAAAGAAATAAAAAAATAAAGAATTGAATGAATGAAGAAAGAGAAGAACGAAAAAAATGAATGAATGAATGAATGAATGAATGAATGAATGAATGAATGAATGAATGAATGAATGAATGAATGAATGAATGAATGAATGAATGAATGAATGAGCATGTTAGTAGGAGCAGCATCAACAACTATAAACGTATTTGGATATTAATTTGTAAAACGTCAGATTTGATCGACATGTTTGGGACTGAAAGGAATTCGGGATTGCCATTCCATCATCGTCGTCGTCGTCTCCATCCTCTTCATTATCATCATCATCTTCTTTTTCACTTTCATCAACATACAAACATACATACATACAAACAAACAAACAGACAAACCAACAGACAGATATCCTCTTCATCATCATTTTTTTTTCATCTTTATCAACAAACAAACAAACATACATACAAACAAACAAACAAACAAACAAACAAACAAACAAACAAACAAACAAACAAACAAACAAACAAACAAACAAACAAACAAACATGCATACAAACAAACCAACAGACAGACATACGTCATCTCTATGGTTTAATTTCAGGCAATCCATCCACTTTGATTGTTATCTCCAATATGACATTAATGCTGATGATGGTAATAATAATAATAATGATAATAATAATAATGATTATAATTATAATTAGGATCATGATGATAATTTCACAGATAATATAATATCCAATATGATAGCCTGGTGGTATTTTTAATGGTATATATAGGAGATACTAAAGATTAAAAAGACGAAATTATTATTATTTATTATTATTATTAGTAGTAGTAGTATTAGTAGTAGTAGTAGTAGTAGTAGTATAGTAGTAGTAGTGGTAGTAGTACATGGTTGTAGTAAGTAGTAGTAGTAGTAGTAATATATAATAATGATATAATAATAATAATTTAATAATAATAATGAAGTTTATGAAATCCGCAGTCCACTTCGCACATCCTTTTATACAACTAAGTATTAATAGAGAATTTTAGTCTAGAAAAGAATAGCAATAATAATAATATTAATAATAATAATAATAATAATAACTATAGCAACAAAACATAACATATCATACTGTAGGTAATCGAATTACTCAAACATTTTACCCACTGTTATAGCGCTTAATTTGCTCTGAAGACAGGTGTGCTTGTCCAATGCATGCATGCATATTACATGAATTGGGAACAGAACATACATACATACAAACAAACAAACATACACAAATACATACAAACATGCATACAAATAGAAACAAGCATACAAAAATACAAGCATACAAAAACAATAAATTCACGTTATATCTTTTTACCGTCCGTTAAAGAGAAATAAATGATTACGTTTATCGTGCCGATCGCCAAGTTTTTTGTTTGTGTTTCCGGTATTTTGGCTGTTTTTTTGTGTATTCATTGTATTGTGTTGTATTTTGATTTGTTGTTTGTTTTTATTCCAGGTTTTTTGTATAAATCTTTGTCGGAATTGTGTTAAAAACTTGAAAGACACCATTAAAATTATAATTACTGTATGATTTTATGCCAACTTTGTATGATCCTGTATCAACAAAAACAGTAACATTAAAAAAAATAACTGTAATAATAAATAAAAATGAAAATAATAACAATAACAATAATAACAATTAAACCAGAATAATAATAATAAAACGCCAATTGATTTGTTACAACTACCTATCTTCAGCATTAGACGGGCCACTAACTCATTATATTATTAAAATTAGGACAATGGACAATGTGTCACACACACACACACACACACATATCTATATATATCTCTTGTTTTCTCTCTCATTCTTTCTCTCCCTCTTTCTCTCCCTTTCTCTCCATCTCCTTCTCTCACTTTATCTCTTTCTTTTTCTTTTTTCTTTCTGTCCCTTGGATGTGAAAATTAAATTTCTATACATCCTTATTGGACGCTGGACACCAACGTACAAATATTTCTTAGTTGGGAGAGAGAGAGAGAGAGAAAGAGAAAGAGAAAGAAGGAGAGGAAGAGAGAGAGGGAGAGAGAAAAGGAGAAAAAGAGAGAGATAGCATCAAATGTAATCTTGAAAAAATTGGAGAAAATCATTATTTTTAAGATTGCAGTAAAAAAACTAGAAAAAAATTAAAGACGCACTTGAGGTAGTCTTACTGTTTTTAGCATTATTTACGACGCGTTTTGTTGGATGATAATAAATTTGCCCGGGGCTAATAACAAAAATTTGGAAAAATTAGGTTTAAAATATCAGAAAAAAAAGCTGAAATACTAAAAAGTTGCTGAAAATTGTGGAAAAGTTTTCAAAAATTATTAAAAATCACGTTGAACATCACATGGAAAAGCAAGCAAGGTTGTGAGAGAAAAGCAGTGGAACATAGAAAAAAATGCTAAATTGATGTTGAAACAATTCAAATTATAAGGAACGTTGTTAAAATTATTAAAATAATTATTAAACCTAAAGAGGATTTTTTTTCAAAATTATAAAAATGTGCTAAGAAATTTTGAAGAGAGCGAAAAACTGTTACAAAAAAAAGTCTTTTCCTCACTAAAATTTAATGGGCGATGAGAAGCAGGCGATTAAATTTGTTAGAATGTATGTGCGTTCCTGTGTGTTTGTATGTCTCTGTGTGTGTGTGTGTGTGTGTATTTGTTGGTTTGTATGCGTGAATGTTTGCGTGGACGTCTATCAGGTTAATTTATCTCAGAAATCATATTTTACGTTAAAACGCGTTAGACTGCCTCGGTCCTCATAACGATATTCCTCCTTAATTGGGTTTGCCTGCACGTACGTGTACGTGTGCGAAATTGGTTATAGATGTATGTGTGTGTGTGTGAGTAGATGTGTATGTGTGTGTGTGTGTGTGTCAGTCTGTCTGTCTGTGTGTTCGTACGTGTGTTTAAACTTTATAAATAATCACCATCATCTTTGCGGGCTTAAAAACAAAGAACACTGAAAGAAAACAGCAAAGAAAAATAATTTAATTCCTCAAGTCCTGCGCATGGAGGCAGGCGCCTGGAACAGAGCGATAATAAAAGAAGGTGTCGTGTCAGCAGTCGTGATGACGTCATCGTGCACCTGGCGACGAAAATATTAAATTTGAAGGCTAGGTAACTGTGGTGGTACAAAAAAATCGAATGAAAAACGGAAAGAAAGAGCGATAGAGAGAGAGAGAAAAAAAAGAGAGAGAATTAAATTAAAATAGATTGAAAGAAAGAAAGAGAAAGAGAGGAAGAGAGTAAGGGAGAGAGATTATTAAGAATAACATTTTGCTTCAGTTTTGTTTGCCTTTGATGGTTCGATGAAAGAAAAGAAAAAATTCGTGGAGCTTTTACGATCTTTGATATCACTTTGTTTCTTTGGTGTAAAAAATTTTTTCGAATTTTAAAATTTCATTCTTCACACACATAATGGTGATGATAGTGATGACGACGACGATGATGATGATGACGACGATGATGATGATGACGACGACGATGATGATGATGATGACGACGATGATGATGATGATGACGACGATGATGAGATGATGATAACGATGATGTGGTTGTTGTATCAATTGCATCTCGCGAGACGCATGAACGGTCAGCTGGATGGAAGCCTTAATTGAAAAACTAAACAACAACAACAACAGCAACATCATCAACATCAACAACAACAACATAATAATAATAATAATAATACAAAAAAGAAGAACAACAACAACAGCAACATCATCAACAACAACTACATAATAATAATAACAATAATACAAAAAAAAAAGAAGAACAAGAACAGTAACAACAACAACAGCAAAAAGATCAACTTTAACAACACCCTTGAAAGTAATTACCTCCATAATGACCAAAAATAGCAACGTTTACGACTACAACAATAATAATAACAACAATAATAACAATAATAATAATAATAATAATAATGACGACGATGATGATGACAAAATACCTGAAGATAGCACGAAACATTGCGATTGATGTCTATCTATCAACCTCCAGACCTCATCATCATCGTCATCATCGTCGTCGTCATCATCATCATCGTTATCAAGTATCATTATCAGTACCATAGTCATCATCATCGTTATCAAGCATCATTATCAGTACCATCGTCATCATCATCGTCATCCTCATTATCAATATGCTTGCCGGCAAGCATTCATCATAAATGCACCCATGACGTCATAATCAACGCCATCATCATCATCAACAACCACAACAGCCACATCAGCAGCAGCAGCAGTAGTAGCAGCAACAACCACATCATCATCATCATTTGCAGCGACAACAACAGCAACAACGTTACAACCAACAGGCACGTCATCTGGACACGATTGTGTATACATCTTGTCTATATTGCCTTTAATATTATTATTACTCTTCTTCCTCCTCTTCCTCTTATTATTATTATTATTATTATTATTATTATTATTATTGTTATTGTTGTTGTTATTGTTGCTGTTGTTGTTGTTGTTATTGTTCAGCTCAGACACATTGGGTCCCACTTGATTTATCACAAAATGAACATAAAGATGAAAAATTGACCAAATGACCAGCTGTTGATTGAATGAACGAATGAATGTATGAATGGATGGATGGATTGATGAATGGATGGATGGATGAATGGATGAATTAATGAATAAATTAATGAATGAAAGAAAGAATAAATGGAAGGTTGAATAAATGAAAAAGTGAATAAATAGAAGAATAAAACGAACGAATGAAAAATGGAAAAAAATGAAAAAAACAACTGAAATATGAACGAAGAGAAAAAATGGAATAGTGGAAAAATACTTGAATAAAAGATGGAAAAAATAATTGGATAAATGAATGAATGAATGAATAAATGAATGAATGAACAAACGACCGGCGAACAGATGATTGAGTGAGCAAAAGGGTCGACTAAACTCCTAAATGACATCACAAGATGACGTCACGTGTGGCGTCACGTGACATGAAAAATTACAATAAGAAAATTACATTCATTATTTATCGGGGCTATAAATCTGTTTTGTCTGCTTCTACGTATCTGCCTGTGTGTGTGTGCATGTGTGTGTGTGCGTGTGTGTGCGCGCGTGTGTGTGTAACCTTTTATGGGTTTTTTCTGATTTAAAGACAGTTGTATAGCTGCTGTAGCATAGTTCAAATTTTCTCTCGGAATATTCAACGTTTCATAATAGCATTAAGGAATGAATTGATTGTTGGATAGATGGATGGGTGGATAAATTGATAAATGAATAAATGAACAAATAAATTAATTAATTAATAAATGATTAAATTGATTAAATAATTATTGCATGGATGAGAAAATGTAGTTAAATAATTACGAAGAAACGAATAAAAATAATTAAAACAGAGAGAATGAAACGCAGGAATTTAACCATCATTCAGTAAAATTGAAAGAACAATAAAGATTTATATATAATAACAAATGTTAACAAACATTCAATAAAATTTCAGGAAAAATTGGCCAAAATTTTGCGGAAATTTCACGGAAAAAAAGTCCGAAAAATTCGCGCCAAAATAGCTCTTCTTCTCGCATTCCATCTGAATATCGGTTATTTGTCATCGGGTCTCAAACACCTCTCGCCGAAGACTTAGGATGAAAAACGCGTCGAGGGGATGTGACGTGAATGCAGATCGGGTAAGTTTCATACCGGGCAGTGATGCTGATGACGATGACGATGGTGGTGCTGGTTTTGATAATGATGTTTCTGATGATGATGACGATGATGATGATGCTGGTTTTGATAATGATGTTTCTGATGATGATGACGATGATGATGATGCTGGTTTTGATAATGATGTTTCTGATGATGATGACGATGATGATGATTCTGGTTTTGATAATGATGTTTTTGACGATGACCGCAATTTTGTATTAATGACATTAAATTTTTTTTTTATATGTTCTACATTTCATCTACATACTACTACTACAATTTCTGCTGCTTATACTGCTACTACTGCTGCTGCTTTTACTACTACTACGGCTGCTATTACTACAACAACTGCTGCTGCTACTACAACTACTACTACTACTGCAATTACTGCTAAACTTAGAGTATAATTACGACTACTACTGGTCCATAGATAAATATTGATCTGTTTCAAGCGCTCTTCTATCGTGATCGTAAATAAGGAAGATAAAATTTATATCATTAAAAACATTACAATAAATTCATCCGCTATTATCGTTACTCTGATCATCATCGTCGTCGTCGTCGTTATCTTCTCTCTCTCTCTCTCTCTCCTCTTTCTCTCTCTCTCTCTCTCTCTCTCTCTCTCTCTCTCTCTTTCTCTCTCTATCCATCATCCATCCATCTATCTATCTTTTCATCATCACAATTCTCATCATTCCATCATCATCGCATAACATTTCTAACAATACACTATAATTAATAATAATGAGAATAATAGGAAGAAAGATATGGATAATTATGTTAATTATGATGAATAATTACCCTCACCGTGAACTGAGAGATAGATCCATGAGCCATTAACACTCCTCCCCCCTCCAACATTTTCATCTCTCTCCAGGTAGACAACGCTGCACGTGTAGTAACCTTCATCACTGACCAGGACGTTGTTGATTTGCAGAGAGGAAGGAAGTACAATCGAGGATGAAGAAGAAGATGATGAAGAAGAAGATGATGATGACGGTAGAGATAATGATGATGATGGAGAGGGTAGCTGAGAAATTCGTCCCTGCATGTATGAAATTTTTTTTCGTATCATCTCAAAAGTGATTCATTTTACTTACTCGATTGCTCTGTCGTTCGTTCGTCCGTTCATTCATTCATTCATTCATTCATTCATTCATTCATTCATTCATTCATTCATTCATTCATTCATTCATTCATTCATTCATTCATTCATTCATTCATTCATTCATTTATTCATTTATTCATTCATTCATTCATTCATTCATCTATTCATTCATTCATTCATTCATTCATTCATTCATTCATTCGTTCGTTCATTCATCTATTCATTCACTCACTCACTCACTCAGCCCACCTGATATTCTTCCTCAATGTGAGGCGGAAACCCGTTAAACTGGATGAATAGCGGCATGACGCTATAACGTTTCTGCCACGTCATAATATAATCCGATGACGTCATCACCAGCGTTTTCCCGCCACTGCTGGCCGACATATTCAAGATGGCCTCCTCCAACATTTGTCGCGAGATGTCGCAATCAATTCGAACGCTCGAGCCGAGGTTTGCCGTCAGAATCTTTGATGACGACGACGATGACGTCACTGATGACGCTGATGATGATGATGATGTCATGGATGATGACGATGAGTAGATTGGAGAGGAGATAGATGATGAAAATGAAGACGCCATTGCAGCATCTGAAAGTTAGAAATGGTGTTGTTAACAAACATGTGTGTATATATATATATACTAAGATATACTTATATGTGGTATGTACGTGTGTACGTGTGTATGCGTGCGTGTCTGTGTGTGTGTATGTGTGTGGTGTTGTGTGGGTGTGTGTGGTGTTGTGTGGGTGTGTGTGGTGTTGTGTGGGTGTGTGTTCATTTTGTTGAAAAAACTGTGAATCACGCACGGAACAGAATAAAAACTTGAAATTTCAAAACAAATTTTGAAAAAAATATTTTACTTTCATTTAAAATATTAAAAAATTTGAGATAAATCCACAATAAACACGCTCCATTTTTGTCTTGAGATACATTAGTAGACTTAAACACGTGTTTGTGTGTGTTGGTGTGTGTGTGTGTGTGTGTGCGTGCGTGCACGTGTGCGTGTGTCTGTCTGATGTTTCTCTTTATATTCATTTCATCGGTTTTTATTGCAGAATAAATACAAGTTTATTATAACGCTTTCATTATGATCGCCATGGTTATTATTATTTTAATATATTACAATTGTAATAATAATAAAATTATTATTATTATTATTATATTATTTTTTTCGTTTTCAGCAAAAAAACAAAAAACTCTTTATCAACATCTTGCAGTGAGACAATAATGTTGTATCGTTGAGTTTTTTGTATGTATGTTTGTTTGTTTGTTTGTTTGTTTGTTTGTTTGTTTGTTTGTATGTATGTGTGTATGTATGTATGTTTGTATGTATGTGTGTATCTATGCATGTATGTATGTTAAAACCAAATCATTGATGAGTGGCACTAAACAGTCAAACACACGGATAAGGCTTGATTAACATGTATGTACGTACGTTTGCATGTATGCGTATGTGAATTTCGTTTCGTATTTCGTTTCGTTTCGTGTATACCTATTTTTTACATCTATTATTATAATCAACTGAAAATTAATGTTGACATTGAGCCAATTAGCTGCTCATATTGTTAACTGCACACTCAGATATATTGGGATTTTAGAGAATCATTTTCTCAATGTCATGTCATCATTGTCGTCATCATCATCAGAGGCAGCATCATCACCAGTAGCAGCAGCATCATCATCATCGTCGTCGTCGTCAAGAAATTTCTTCAGACAAAACATGACCGTCAATAATAATGTTGCAATCATATTCCACACAATTCAATTCGACCAAACCTACAAACATACAAACATACATACATACATACATACATACATACATACATACATACATACATACATACATACAAACATACATACATACGTACATACGTACATACATACATACATACATACATACATACATACATACATACATACATACATACATACATACATACATACACGCATTGATACAAACATACACAAACTTAAAAAATTTTGAAATGAAATAAATCCTGATGAACACAATTAAATATTTAATGAAAAAAATCTATATAAGCCTTCGTTCAAAGAGCATACAAATCTAATATCCACAGAAACATACACACACATACAAAGATACATAAAAACAAACACACAAACAAACAAGCAAACACATACATATACCAAAACTAAGTACCCAAAAAAATACACATTCGTTATTACGTGCGTCATCGCGTTACTTACCTTTCATCTATAATGTATTTATACATTTACTAATAATGTGTTTTCTTGCTTTTCTGCTCCACTTTTTTTAGTATTTTGCTATGCTTTGAATAAAAATTGTTTGCTTTTTATCATTGTATAATGTATTTTGTATTTTTTATGTTTTTTTTATTTTTGCCTTATTTTTTTATATATTTTATTGTATTTTTGTGTTCTTCCATAAATATCAAACAGCTTCAAAGCCATTCATTCTCATTTAGTTCATTTGTAATTCATTCATTTATACAGCACACACACACACAAAACAACACACGCATACACACACACGTACACACACATACACAAACAACACACATCAAATTGCACACACAGAAAAAAACACAAGTTTTTTAATTTAAGACATTCTTCAGACAAAACACACGACCCATAGAAAGAGTTAATCTCACCGTAAGAACGTCTCAAAGAAATAATACAAATACAAAACACATACAAAAGAATACAAAAACATACAAAATACATACAAAAAATACAAAAACATACAAAATACATACAAAAGAATACAGAAAAATGTACAAAAATACTAACCATTACACAAAAAACAACAAAGTTAAACAACAGAAAAAGTATTTTACAAAGCAAAACAAACAGAGCAAAACCAAAAAAATCATAAAATCAAAACAGTATACAAAACATACAAACATAAGTTATGTATGTAATGTCAACAAAAAATGTTTACAGTGACACACACACATACAAACAAACACATACAAACAAAACAACAAACAAAACACGCGGATGCAAATATATAGCGGTAGATTTAGCCAGGCTCAGGTCTACAATTACACATTACACACATACATACATACCTATATACATACATACATATATACATACATACATACATACATACATACATACATACATACATACATACATACATACATACGTACGTACGTACATACAAAACATACAAACACCCACAAATACACACATATACACACACTCTTGTGTCGTCCTAAGCTTAGAAATTTTCAAATGTAAATTTTATTAGCGTCAATTGACGAAAAAATTTTTTTATTTCCTTCTAAATATTTTATAAATTTTGCAAAAAAATAGTTTAACAATATAACACTGTCACATAACAACACTAAAAATTGGTGGTTTCTCTCTTTCTTTCTCTCTCTCTCTCTCTCTCTCTCTCTCTTCTCATTCTTTTTGTTTACATTTCAATCTTTCCTCATCATCCCACAACACACAGACGCCCCTTTTCAAATGAGAGTGAACGATAAATGAGGCACGACCGTGAACATAGATAAAACAAAAGCATAGAAAGTAAAAATAATAGGAAGGAGAAAAAAAAGATAGAATAAATGTACTTTCATGCTGACGTCACATGTATCGCCATTACGTCATCGTGGCGCGAAAAGATGGCATAACTTTTATGATCCTGATTGAACTTCTCCTCTTTCATTTGATCTTTCCCTCTCTCTCTCCCTCTCTCTCTCTTTCTCTCTCTCTGTTTTTCTTTCTTTTTCACTATCTTTTTTCTGTTTTTCTCTTTAGTTTTATTTTCTATTTTTTCACTTTTTTCTATCAGTTCTGCTTGCCTTTTTTTAACAAAGTTTCCATTTTCTTGTTACACAATTATTATTCTCCATCATTTTTCCCAATTCTTTCCTTCCACTCTCTAACTCTCTTTCTCTCTTTCTCTTTCTTTCCCTCTCCTTCTCCCTCTTGAATGTTGTAGTATTTTGTATTGTGACAAATGTGACGGAGAATACACAATACAAAATATTTGTTCAGTACGAACATTCGTTTTATAGCTGAAATTCTATTTGCTGAATTGTGATGACTCGAATAATGATATTATTGTTGTTGTTGCGGCTGTTGTTGTTTTAACAATAGTAGTAGTAGTAGGAAAAGTAGTAGTAGTAGTAGTAGTAGTAGTAGTAGTAGTAGTAGTAGTAGTAGTAGTAGTAGTAGTAGTAGTCGTAGTGGTGGTGATGGTGGTAGTAAATGTGATAGTAATGATAGCAGCTATGGTAATAGCTTTAGTAGTAGTAAAAGAAGTAGTAGTAGTAGTAGTAGTAGTAGTATTAGTAGTAGTAGTATTAGTAGTAGTATTAGTAGTAGTAGTAGTAGCAGTAGTAGTAGTAGTAGTTGTTGTAGTTGTTGTAGTTGTTGTTGTTGATGATGGTGACGTTGTTTTTGTTTTGCTTTCGCGGTTTAATTGATCGTGTCAAGCTGTTATAATGAATTTTTGGAATTTTCAAGAATCTTTAAATTGTATTAAGAATTGTGATGATGATGATGATGTTGATGTTGATTATGTTGATGATGATGATGATGCTACCTATAGTGGTGATGATGATGACGTTTTTGTTGTTGTAGTTGTTGTTGTTATCCTTTATACTATTTTGATGGTTTTCACATTGTCATTGATGATGTTTAAAATAATTGTTGCTCGCAATCTGTTGT